GTTTCCCCGCCCTGCCCCACGCCACTCAAATGCAGGATGGCCACTGGGGAGCTGGGACTACAGCTCCCGGCGTGCACTGCGCCAGCAGGGTAGGCTTCCGGGGTCTGGTTTAAATCCCCCTTGGGAGGGTTCGGGCTGGGGTGTGGATGGGGGTGCAGCGGGACCCCGGGAAGGACCGGTCGGTCCCCTTGGGACGCGGGGGCACAAAAGGGGCCGATGGGTCTGTCCTGCCTCCTGTTAGCGCAGGTGGCGGGCGGCCTGGGCGGCGGATGTACGTCCTCGTGGCGCTTAGTCTGCATGTGAAATCGGGGGCAAAGTGCGCTTAGTGGCCTCCATGGTGAGGGCAGAGCAGGGAGCGTGCGGGAGTCCGAGGTGGCACCTAAGGACACGCACGGAAAGGCCTCACGATGTCGGGATCTGTGTCACGGCGTAACCGAGTGGTTTCCTTGCAGTTGCATAAAGCACATTCTTGCTTAAGGAGGGTGGTGAGGGAAGAGGTTCAAAGAACTATAAAGCTGCTGCTGGGAAGAGCATAGCTCTTTTCCTGTGCAGCTTCCTGATTGAAACAAACTGTGCTACAGGTCACCACAGTGGGAAAGCTAACTGAAGTTTATAACTGCCAAAATATATGTAACTTCTATGTTTTCTGTGTCTAATTTTGGTAATTTAACCATAAACACGAAGACATGTTGTCTTTGAAAGGCAAAATTATGACTATGCTGTCATAAAGTTTTAACACTTTGGTGTTTTTTGCATGTGTTCTGAAGTGTGAGCTAGACTTTCTCTAATGGTATAAAAAAACCCCACAAACTTTCCCATCCTTTGGAAGCAGGATTTGCTGTACATATTTGGTGTGTGGCATGTATTGTTAATTCACCCAAAGCAGCATCCAGGCAGACAAAACACCAATCTGGTTGTGCTGCTTCTGGGGTAGCTGAGGTTTCAGGTGGTGGGGTGACCTAGCAGAGCCTTCCTTCTCAACAAATGGTTTGTTTTCTGAGACACATAGTTTGTGACAGTGCTGGTGCAATTAGGTGAAGTTTTACCTTATGCCTGTCTGAGCTGCCTTGGCCTAAAATTAGTACTGCAAAATTGCAAAATGAAACCTCTGCTGTGAGCTGTTCCTCTGAAGAGGAAGTACTTGGAGTGTTTCCTCGGAAATAAGGATGCTGACATGCCTTTCTAAAACTAAGACAAGTTTTGCTTCTTTGCAGCAAGATTCAGGAAATGTACTGATGTTATTACAGTGTTACAATTGTCCTACTATTAGTGTACTGGTATAACTACTTCTGTGGACAATCTTCTTTGGAATAATGCTGGCTGGTTTTCCATCCATTTAATTCTTCATTTCCATTAAATTTCCCTAAGCATATAGCTTTCCCTGTGTTTGGGCACTGGTGTTAAATATTCTTACCAAGAACTTAGCCCAGCAAGACTAAGGTAAAATTGTTCTTGCAGGCTTTGAATTAAGGGAACCCCAAGTGTTTCTCAGTGTGTGTATGATGTACCTGTTTAGTTTGGAGTGCTCTGTGCCCTGCTTCTGCCATCATTGGTATGCTGAGAAGTACCTGTGTTTGGGTGTGGTAGTGGAAAAAAAGAGTTAAGTTTCAGAGTAACCAGTACTTCCCCACTGAAATTATTATTTTTGATATATATTCTGCATTCAGCAGCAGAAGCAAAGACTTGGTGACATTAACCATGTGGCACTAGATCCTAAGGACCATTCAGGCACAATTTAACTCAATTAAGACAGTCTGAGGAATCAGGTGAGACTTCATCAAGATAAGGTTCTAGAAAGTCAGCTTTTGCCAGCACAGGCAGCACTATAATTGTAAGCAATTGATTGGAACAGTGATTGTCCTAATCAACAGAGTTATTTGGCTTTTATCTGACCTTTAATTTGTTGAACTAAACTGAAGCCAGTCTGATTTAGGTCAAAATAAGAATTCACATAGCCCTTTGCAGCAAATTAAACCCAGACAAACCAACATAGCTTTGCATGTAGACAAGCCCTAAGGCATCGAAATGTCCAACAGCAGTGACAAAGTGCTTGATGGCTGTCAGGGAACATGTGTTTTTACTTTCATTGTGGCAGGAAACACCATAGGGTCAAGGCTGCAAACCACTGTTTATATTGTTCTTTCTTCTACTTACTTATTATATAACCAATTTGCAGTGCCCCATTATGTGCTACATGGGGTGCCTTTAAAATTATAGATTATAAGCATCTTTTAAAATAAATAGTACCCACAAATTTTATTAATACTGGGAGTGGGAGAGCTGATTCATAACTGGCATTGTGCTAGATTTTATTGAATATGTACTTCGAGCATGACACCTGTTAAAAAGGCAAGTCCTGACTCAAGACAGTATTTTGACCTCTGTACAGCCCTGATTGAGGTGGGAAAGTAACCCTTTCAGTGTATTGCTTTGGGATGGTGATGGAAATATCATAGTGGACCAAATACTAGGCTTTGTGCAGTCCATTTTCTTCTTTTCTTCCCTTTCCTTTCATTGCTCCATTTCTCTTTTTTTTTTTTTTTTTTTTGTGTCTTCCTCTCATTCTCTTTCCATACCATTTTGACTTTGCTTCCTATTCCTTTTTCCTGAGACATGCTATTCATTTGATGCAGGACCACATCACAGGCCCCATCTGTTCTTCTACACCGTCTAACCATGATCTTCTCACTTCACCTGTGGCTCATTTCTCATTAACCAGTCGTGCTTGCCAACACGGGACCATGGATTGACTGAACAGTTTCTAGGGCTCGTTCATTTCACCACAAAATTCACTTCAAGTGGTGTCGTGCCCCTTGAATTTGGACATGGGTACCAAAGATTTCTTACTTGTATATTAGGCACAGGCTGTGGTTGCAGATTTTCTGGAAAAATTGCAGTGGTGGTTATCTGCCATTATGTCAGTGAAGTGTTTATATGGTGCCAAGTGAGAAGGGATTAGTGAAGTAGAAAAACAAAGGAGGTTAGTACAGGAATTGTAAGATGGGAAAACCAGCTGAAAGAAAACTGGAATAAATTTCTCAGTCTGCTTTGCTATATAGGAATATAGATGGTGCTGGCCAAAGGGAAAGGATACACAGGAACAGGAATGAAAGGCAGAGATCAGTGAAGTTCAGCTTTGCTTATTTAGATGCTGACTTATACTGATAAACTGTACCAAAAATTATAACCTGAACTTATAATATGCACTGACTTTCAATAAGACAAATCTGTTTCTTAGGCCTGAGCTACTAAGGAATTGCCAACAAAACTATAGAAGTATATTTCCCAATATAAAAGACATTCAAAACATCTATTTCCTCTAAAATACTGTATATAATTACACATATTCAGAAAAAAATAATTAAAACCAGAATCTGTATAGGAAAAGGTAAGTGAGCTGATTAGAATAATGTAAAAGGGAAAAATTAGCCCCAGGAAATTAAAGTGTTGTTATTTAAATGTTATTACCCCTATTAGTTGTTGAATTCTATGATTTTTCCTTAAAAGCACAAGGAAAAAATAAGTTCAGGACATCTATTTTAGTGATGAAGACTGTGTTGTGATAAAGGAACTGTCAGTTACCTCACCCAAACTGGAAATAAGAGGAAGATTTATAGGTGCCAGAGGAATGAGTTTCCAGAACACTCTTCCAGTAGCACAAGTATGGGTGAAAATAAACCCCAATCTTTAGTTGCAGGTTAGATGGGCTTTAGGTAAGGCTTAGTATTTTTGCAAAAAGGGATTCTATGGTATTGATGTTTTCAGTGACACTACTAGGAATAACCCAGGAAGTTTTGTAATACAAAATGACAACAACAAAGTGGAATTAAACATTTTACAGGTGTGCTGGTTTTGGCTGGGATGGAGTTGATTTTCCTTTCAGTAGCTGATGTGGGATAAGTTTCAGATTTGTGACCAAAACAGTGTTGATAGTACAGGGATATTTTCATTTTTGCTGGGCAGTGCTTGCATGGCATCAAGGTCTTTCCTGCTTCTTATCCCACCAATGAAGAGGCTGGGGGTGCTTAGGAAACTGGGGGAGGACACAGCCAGGACAGCTGGAAGGGACATTCCACATCACATGGCATCATGCTCAGCACATCAAGCTGGGGAAGAAGTGGGGGTGGAAATTCATAGCTGTGCTGTTTGCCTTCCCGAGTCACTGTTGGGTGTGATGGGGCTCTGCTTTTCTGGGGATGTCTGAACACCTGCCTGCCCACGGAAAGCCATGAATGACTTCTTGCTTTTCATTGTGTGCATGCACAGCTTTTGCTTTCCCTATTGAAGTGTCTTTATCTCAGAAAACTCTTATGAGTTTTCTCACTTTTACCTTTTCAATTCTCTCCCCCATCCCACCAGGGGAGTGGCTGTGTGGCGCTTAGTTGCTGGCTGGAGTTAAAATTTGACAGTTTGAAAGGATATGAAGCAGGAATAACCCATTTGAGTCAGTTCACCTATATTCAGAATAATATATTGAAGCTATAAAAAGAAAATTACTAAACTCACTGGTGTATATGCATGAATTGTGCTAACAGACCTGGATATAATTAGGAAACACTGAGTAAAGTTTTGCAGCTCTGACTACTGCAATTACCTCAATGATTTCAGGAAAGCATCAACTAGCAAAACATGGATCAGTAATCTTTTCTATCTGATGTTAGTCACAACCTTGTGTAGGATCACTAAAAAAGGAGGGCAGTGTCATAAGATACTGGAAATGCTGCTGCAACGTAAAGAAAGATTGCCTTACATCACCATGTCCTGAATACCCTTACACCCCAATTTCAAATATTTTTATACACAAACGTTTTACATTGTGCCTATCTGTTTTCTACCTCCCTTTTACGATTGTTAAGAGTTCACATTTTTAAACTTCACATATAATTTTCCCTGCCTGGATTTTGGACAAACACTGCACCAAATTCTGCTTTGCTATTGATCTTAAAAAAAACTGGTTCAGTGCTTTAGCAGAAAGGAAAACTGTACTTCTTATGAAAAGATTTTTTTTTCAAAAATGCTCTCTTACATCTTTGTAAAGAACTTTTCATAATTGATTCTAAGGGTAAAGGAGCAGCATGGTATTGCGTATTAATTGGAATGTAGAATTGAGTCAACTGAAAATATAGAGCTGGAACGGTAAAAAAAATTACAGGCCAAGTATTAATAATGTGAGTAGTACTGAACATGTAAATTAAGAGGCATTGAAGTCAAATATGCTGAGCTGTGAACATCTCTCCACTTTTTCAATGGATTGGAGCCTGGATCCTCTGTGAGCTTACACAGCTGTGTCAAGCTGAGATATGGTAAAGGTCAGTTTTCCTTCTGTGCTAATATGTTAGTGAACAAGCCAGCATGGGACATAGTTAATAGCTGAGTTGTCACTATCTCCTATTGACTTCTCAGAACTAGGAGGAGGTGTGAGACATGTTCATTCTGTTCACTTGCAACACATAAGAAATGGGCAGGTACTTTCCCCTGTTGCCTCCTTGGAAATTTTGCTTGTATTAAGCTCAACTTTCTGCATCGAGCAATGAAGAACTGGGGACTTGAGTTAAAACTCCTATTATTCCAGATTGTTTACAAAGTGTTCAACTTCTGTCACTATCTTGCCTGTCTTATCCATCCTTCTGTTCTTTTCAGATAGTACCTGGCTACATTTTATTCTGAAAAACTTCTTCCTGCCTGCTGCAGCTGACCTTCAGGATGCTCCTTGGTCTCCCAAGCAAGGTGCCATGTATGTGTGCTCTACCATCTATACACACCTATGGTTTAACCTACTTCTCCTGCTCTGATCAATCACCCCTCTGTTCCCCTCTGCCAATCCTGTACAGTAATTCTCATTTAGCATATCTTTTCTATTCATAAAACAAAAGATAGCACCCATCTTCTGCTGGCAAACCCACTCCTTGTCCTTTCTCCACCACCACTAATTCTGTCATCCTTCAAGTTGATGTGCTCCTTTTTCCTCTCATATAAGAGCTAGTTTTAGGTCATGGCTGCTCTTCTGTGAAGTATTTCCAATGACCTGTTTCCCCACCTCAGACCTTGTTTCCAAATTCTTGCCCAGACTTGGGTCACGTCTAGCCTGCAGATGCTCATAAATTACCAACTTTCTAGAACTTTCTCCCAGGGAATCTTTAGTTTCTGCTTTCCACCCACAGTTCAGGGTCTCTCTGTTCACCAGTTCAGGAGACAAAGTTTTCACTGCCCTCCTCACCCTTTTTCCTTACTAATCAGGAGCATCTCATCACCTTTGCATCCCTTCTCGGATGTTCTTGGGTTATTCATCCCTTCGGTTTCAGGCTTCACCTTGGGGGCCTGGCATTCCTCTGCTGATGCATTAATTTGGGGTTTATGTCAATCCCACACATTCTGGTCCAGTCCAGCTTTCCTCTAATAACTTCCTTCCCTTCTTCATTCCCTCCTCCAGCTTTCCTCAGAGGACTTTCACTTGTGCCTCCCTTTTTTCTTTAAGCCTGAAACAACTGCACTCATCTTGTGAGCCAAATCCACACTGCCTTCATTCAAATTTCCCCATAAAATGTACTTTTGCCATAACACCTATCCAGCTCAGATTCTTCTCCTGAAATATATCCTGTTCCTCTATAATAAAAACAAATCCTGTTTCATAACAAAACAAAAAGAACTGAGCAAGAGACCGACTACACAACTAATTTTTGGCAGTTGCTTTCTGCCAAGAGCAACATGCTTGTTCTTATCCCACTCCTTTGGATTGTCCTCCCCGTGTGCCTCCTGTTTGTCCTTTTGTTTTCAGCTTTTGATTCCTTCCTGAGGGCTCCTGGCCTGATGCTGTGCTCACACTGGTGTGAAGTGAGGAGTAGCTTCGCTGCAGCAAACAGAGCTCTGCCAAGGCAAAATTTCTGTGGAAGGCGATCATCCCTTTGTTTTAATATTAGCTAATAAAGCCTGTGCACAGCTCCAGCACTGGCTCCAGCACTCTGGTTTTAATTAATAAAAATTAGCATATTCAGCTACATACACTCTTCTTTTTCCCTCAGCTACTTTGAAGAAAACCCCTTTGTATGTCTTCCTGGTTGCTGTGTGTATTGACATTAAAAAAACCCCAAACGAATAAAACCCCAAACCCAAAGTAGCATCAAACTCCCCCGCAAACAAAAGGCTCGGGTGCTGCCGGGGGCGGGCGGCGCTGGGAGCAGTCCCGGCTCCCGGGCCGGCCCAGCTCCCAGCCCGCCGCCCCTTCCTCCGCCTTTGCACAGTCCCGCTGCAGCGACTTCCCAGTCTTAATTGGAGCCTCTGGGCATTATTGTATTATTATTATTTAATAAACAACCACATAAAACACTGACATTTAAATAAAAGTAAAGAAAGGAAAGCTCTGACTCCTAGTCTGTTTTGTTTTCCTGTTGGCTTGGGTGGAAGCAGGAGCAGGTTTTCTCTACAGTACCCATGCTCACGAAACACAAGCTCACGTTTCATGTTATAGGAAAGAGAGCCCACCGTAGATGAGCAGGCCAGACCTACTGCAGCTGTCAATTCCTGTTGCAACATAAGGTGTAAAATAGAGAGTAATAAACTGAACATTCCTGAATAAAAGGCGCTGCTTTTCTTTCCTGAGCTACAATTTGCAAGGGTTTAGCCCCATTTTCTGCATTGTGACCCCCAGCATGTCCTTTTGCGTGGTTATCTGAAACTCACAGCCACAGGGATGCTATTAAAAATAATAAATAGAAAAGATAGTTTTATTTTTGCATTTGATTGTTTGAGGCATTCCAGTGTGAGAGTTATCATGACAAAAGAAAATGTGGTATCCTTGGAGTGAACGCAGAGGAGCACAACTCGTTCAATAAGGTTTTGAAAGAAAAACAAAGAGCTAAAAGCCAGATCTGACTCCTTTAGAAAGAAGTCTAAAATGAGACAGGATTCAAAGTGCTTAAAATACTTTGGTGGCAAGCAACAAAGAAGCGTCTGTTACTAGAATTGATTGAATTAAGGAAAGGGGGAGAAAATCCTGAGAACTTTTAAAAAGTGGTTTTAATGTATGGGGAGTATAAGGACAAAAATTCTCCCGGGCCACAGCTAGAGCCCTGAATCAGCATAGCTGCTTTTCTTGAAGAAAGTGAAAACTAGACAAGGGCGAGTACGAACACCTCATTATCCTTTTTCATTGTGGATCAAAGAGGAGGAATTCAAAGGGCTGCCAGGTCTCCACTTTCCTGCAGTGAGTCTAGAGCGTGGGCTCCGTTTATTTCCCTTGCATTAGATAATGCTTCTCTATTACTCTAAATGATCCAGTCCTGAAATGGACTTCTTGTGAGATCTGAATTCTATTTACTGGTTTGTGTTTTTCAAGTACTCAGTAAGAATGAAACAGTCCAGCTGTTTATAAAAATTATGTATATATGTGCTTTAATTCTAGGGAGTTCACCCCTTATTCTTCCCACCATTTCATTACACATGTGCTTTCCTGTATGATATATTAAAAGTTTCATGCAGTGGCTCACTTGCATTTACATATAAGGACTGTAATAATTCTGTGATGTTGCTTGGAACTTCTGTATGAACATGTTGTATAGAGTCAATGTGGGCATGACAAATGCATTGTAGATTTTTTGTAGATAAATTCACATTCACAGTCAGTGAATGCAAATATGAGTGAATTTGTGTGCAAGTTTTAATATCTAAGCAGAGCTAATAAGTGCATGACACCTGTAACCACAACTGCCAGTGCAAACAGTAACTAGTTTTAATGCATTTGCACTGTTTTAAAAGTACTGGGCTTTGAAATATTTCAGGTGTAATGGTTGAGAAGTGTTCATGCTCCAGCAGGTATTTAAGTGTATGGACTCTGTTATTAGGAGTACTGAGTTTATTAGCATCTGATATGCAAAAGTCCTTGTGAAAACAAGTACCAGAATGGTGAGGACTGCCTTATGAAGCAATCTGTGGCTTTTAAAGACATTATGGAAATCTTACTGCAAAATGGATTAAAAAGTGCTGGTTGATGATCTTAGGGAGATGGGTGTTAGGCATGGAGATTTTTTTGGAAAGCAAAATAGGAACTTATTGGAAGGGTACTGTATTTCCCTGAGTGGCTGTATAGCCAGTAATAGCCCTGGTCTAGAAGCAAAGAGCTTGCTCAGGAAAGGCACTGCAGGGACATATAATGTAAGGAGGAAAAGTAATGTGTTTGAATATGGGGTGTAGTAATTCCCTAGAGGGTGATGGAGTGACTGCTTTTTGTGAGAATACTGAGGCAAAATATATTAAATTATTACCAAAGTTGTAGAAAAGTATGTTCTGTAAAGCTTTCTAGTGCATTTTATCAAAATCATTTTATCAAGGCCAGGTTGGATGGGGTCTAGTGGAGTTGAAACTAGATGATCTTCAAGGTGACTTCTGACCCAAACCATTCTATGATTCTATGAAAGTGTTGATGTCACAAAAAGGAGATACATGCAAGTCTAAGTCTTTAATCGACAAAAAGGCAAAAAGAACCTCTTTCACCTCTTTTTTTTCATGAATACAAATCTTTGCTTGTTTCTGTATTTGGTAGAGGTAAAGTTGTCCTTACTTGGCCTGCAAAATATTTCCTAGAGATGTAGTTCATATTTAACATGTGAAGGAAATTGTTTTGAATTCACTGGAAGTCCACCAGCTCTTTCTAAACAAAACCATATTAGCGTAGATGTTGAAGTGCTACAACAAAAATTATGTTTCTCAGAGAGAGGAAACTAAATTGTCTTTGTATTTGCATTTCTTTAGAGCTCAGTCACAGTGATTTATTGATGGAAAATGAGAAGGAGACAGTCTTCAAAATGGCCAGTCAACCAAAGAAGCCAGTCTGGGAACATCTGTGTCTTGCCATTTGAAAACCTCACCTGTTGCTTGCTCCTACAGAGTACCTGGAAACACTGGTTAAAAAAAAAAAAAGCTACAGTAGTGTCATTGTATTTTAGCAACTCTTTTTTCTGTATAGCATTAGAATAATGTCAGAGGTTGATGACATATTAGGTTGTTCCAGTGAGAACAAATAATTTGGGGGCAAAAACCAGTGAGGACCCCGTCAGACACTGAACAATGTTTTTGGTTTTCATGTACTGATTCATCAGTGTTTATAGGCCTCCAACATGTAAATCACCCTGAGGTAATCTGGAAGGGAAGGATATGAATAAGCCAATTAAATTGGCAAAGAGCCTAAGGAACACCCTGTTTAGGGATAAAATCACGCCTCTCCTAGTGCCAGTAGTTTTGGAGGAAAAAATAGACTTAAAATCCTTGCAGAGTTAAATTTCTTTGTAGAGAGAACCAATTTAGAAGACTTTGGTCTTTTTCTCTTGTACGTGTGAGCTTGGGTAACTGAGATAAGGCAGTAAGTGATGTGTTTTCTGCAAGTAACTTTAATTTTGATGACACAGAAGGATGTCATCCAGGTAGCAGAGGGTGTAGGAGATAGTTGCCTCATTTATGGTAATTATTTCGTATTCAGTTTTATGATATGAGCATTCAAAGGACTGAATTGCCCTTCATCTTTCCAAGTACCACCTCTTTTCTTTCTTTTTTTTTTTTTTTTCCCAAAGGGAGGTACAATTTTCCATCAGGAAGCTTTTCCACCCAACTTAGCAGTTACTAGCATGCATTCAGGTGCTCTATATCTAAATAATAACAAAATCAACTACTCTTTTTTTGCCACATGCCAGGTCTGTGCCTTCAGAGGTGTGATGTAACAGGAAAAGAGGCAGAGGTGAAGAGAAGTTTTCATTGCAAGTTGTACAGAGGGAAAAGTATTTCCATTCTCAGTTTACTTCCTTATAGTATAAATGGATTCTCTTCGAGTTTTCAAGAGGCTTACTGCTTGCTGGAAGACTGGCTCTGTTTGCTGTTATCCCACTCAGGTCTTTGAACTCACATTCAATTCCAGTCAGGAAAATAGATGTCTCTCTAGAAGAGACATATCATGTGTTTACCCTCACTGGAGGAAAGGCCCAGGCAGAACTCAGATGTGACACCAGACACTTTACGTGGGAGTGGATCATTATGACCTCTCCAAGTGCCAGAGAAGCTTTAATTGGCATTTGTACATTATTCAGCGCCAGAGAATTTAACTGTAAACAGGAATCCATAGGAAATCAGGAGTCACCAGTTACATTGCTCATAGAGCTACTCATTTAAGAGCAGCTTTTGGACATTTTTCAGATGCCATTTAGAGTGGGGGAGAGGTAACCTCCCCTTTTTTTCTTCCATTATCTTCCATCTTCGTTGCAATTCTAGAGTCATGTTCATGGTTGAAGGGAAGTAACCTCCTGAAAACAAAAACAGGCAGAAAGCAACAGAGACATGATATCACTGGAGACACCACAATCAGTCCTCTGAATGCCTTGGAATTGACAGCATCAGGAGATCCTAGATATAAATGCCCCGATGGACAAAAGACCCAGATAAACATAGCTGTTAAGATGATTTCAGTGCCTCTCACCTAACCCCAGCCTGATAGCTCAACATCTAGCTCACACCCTATGGAGACAAAGAGACGCCTTCCAGGAGCAATCTCTACCAGCCCAAAGTAGGAATAAAAGGGATGTGATGTACACTCTTTGTCTGTCTGTCTGCATTGTGTGCTGAGGAGGGCTAGATGACCATCTGAATTTTTTAGACAGCAGGTGATGAGGGACATGATTCCCAAGTTTACTGTTCATCTCTTGCCATACATTGCTGGCAGCAGACCAAACTCCTGTTACTAGATGAGGATGAGAAATTTTGCACCACAGGTTTAATTCAAGGATCCCTTTTGTTTTGAACTGGAACTATAGAGTCACTCATCTTCTTGGAGCTGTCTCTTTCAAGCATTCAGGAACTGCTCAGAGCAGTGGAAAAACAGAAATAGCTGCTTTCACTTCTCTTGTTGGTGTATGTGCCCTGAAGAAACAGGAAGCAAAGTAAGGTTAAGCTGGGTTTAAAGGAACAAGATAATGTTTGGTTGAGGAAGGGAAAAATGCATAAGCTGGCCATGTCTCTAACTTCAGTGTACATAAACTGTTGCCAGGTCCTAAGGAAAACAAGGGATTAGGGAAATAATCTAAATCTATGCTGCATGAAACACAGAGCACATGACACAAGCCTGAGCCCCTTTGTCTCAATAGACAGCACTCTAGAATTGCTGTGACCTTACTTCTGCCCTTGTTAGTCTGAAATATGTAGCACAGCTGTAGGACGTGGTTCATCATTTATCAAGGGAAAATACAGTTCTGGATGGGAACGTGGAGGTGAAAAGTGTTCTGCACACCACGTTCACTTTCATGTTGTAACTTGCTGCTTGGAAAAAAACAGAACGTTTTGTCTTCTTGTAACACTGGTGAACAGCTCCTTATCATAACCTTGTAAGAGGCTTCAAGTACATTCATGAATAGGAAGATGATTAGGATGACACATCAAGGTTTTCTGAATACTTTTTTCTATTCATACGCATCCTCATATTTTTCATAGTTTTCTTTCCAGAGCAAGGTGTTTCTAATCTCTGGTGTGATTGGTAGATAACATCCTTTCACTCTTGGTGGCCCAGCTTGCTCTGAAACTCAAGCTGAGCAGTAGGAAAGTGAGTTTAAGTGAGGGACTGTCAGACCTAAAGCAGCTAATTTAGCTGGAAGGCCCTGCAATGACCTTTGCAAAGGAGGCCACTATTGCTCTGAGCAGTTACTGTGACAAAACCCAAGGATAAAACCCCATTTAGCCTGATTAAAATGTTTAGTGGGAAAGGACTTACATGGGGGATTTAAAGGATCTAATTTGTAGGGTAGAAAGAAGAAGATATCTATGTAGCTGGGGAACAATTCAAAGTGTTACTCTGGACACATCCATAAATCTTCATGCCAGGTAGGGTATTTTCCCTTCCTTCAAGTATTTCCCAGGCTGGGAGTCTGCTTTGGCCACAGCTGCTTCTCTTCAACAGTCCATTAGAGTCCTGAGACTGGGTTTTGAGCCAGCTGTGTAGGAAGGCTGTAATACTTCTCTCAGCTTGCAGCTGAAGAGTCAAGTGTATAGCCTGATCTGCTTTTTTGAGGAGAGGACTCATATTAATTACCCTACATCTAAGGAAATCTAATTTCAGAGCACAAGGACACAGAGGAAAAAAGGAAGCCTGATTTTTCCAGAGTTCAAATGATCATATTAGTGCAGAGATTTGTGTCACAGGGAATGCCTCTGGGCCTTCTTGCCACCAGGGTTGTTAACAGAGAGCAGGAAATCAACTGAGACCAATGACTTCAGTGACAAATGTCAGGGGAGTAGAGGTGGTATCTTTGGCATTAGGCTGAGGGGGCTACAGCTGGTGGTGCAATGGCTGAAAAGTTTACCCTGTGTCTCATTGCTTCTAGGGGTGTAAATGAGCGCTGACCGTATGGACCAACAGCACAAGTTTCACCACACTTGTGAAGTTAAAAACTTTGGTGGTTCCCTCTTCTCTAAAGTGTTCTGCAAAGCCACGTTTGGGGTATAAGTGGTATGGACATGTCCAGTTCAGTGAGGTAGGGTTAGTAGAGGGGGTAGGTTGAGTTTATATTGTAGCCTTACTTTCTTGATTTGACAGAGCAAAGAGAGAAATCCCAAAGCCATGTATTTTGAGATTTACTCCAAGTCAGTTACAGAGAGCGAATGAAAAAAGTAGATAAGCTTTTTGAGATCACCACTCTGATATCATACAGTCCTGTCTGCTTTTCCACCTCAGCCCACTGTTCCTACCCCTGTACCTGTGCAGCCCCAAGGACCAGTTAACACCTGCTCCTTGCTGTCTGGTGCCCTCTGGTGCTGCGAGGACCTGTCCAGGCTACGTCCCATTGCACCCTTGTGCAGCTGTGGGAGCCAGCCTGTACCCCAACGGGGACCCAGGCTTTTCCCCACTGCAGCCTGGAAGTGGCAAGGGCACTCTATTTTGCCTTGGAGCAAGTGGGATAGGCCTGGGAAGCAGGAAAAAGCTTCTCTATCCCTATATCTGTCCTTGAAGGAGGAGAGTAGGAAGTGTACAGGACTGGTCCCCTTCCAAGCATATCTCCCTTGCTTTACTCCCTTTCCCTTGCTTTAGCCTCTAACTTCTATCATCCCTACTCTTTTATTACTGTTACCTTCACATAGTTGCCTGGTCTCACTGCTTGTATCTTCCTCCTCCAAGGTGGAGGAGTTTCTCTTCCCCTGGCTATTCCCACCACACACTGATCCTGCTCCAGACACCTCATACTGGCAGTGCCCATGGCTCAGTAATTATTGGAGTTTACACATGCTCAGTTTTATTGTTCAGAAAACAGGATTACAGTATCTTTGCTGTCATTCTTCTTCCCTTTAATTTATCAATGCTAATTGATTGATTCATTGGCTGATTGATAGTGGCTCTCTGGTTAAACAGTCTCCCAAGCCCAAGCAACAGCCACTTGCCTATCCTTCCTACATATTTACCTGGAGCATCCATAATGTATTAATCTCTGGAAATTACTTAGGGCCTTTTCTAAATTAGTTTGTACAAATTGGCAGGGCTCATTTTGCTGTACTTACAGAAAACTGATAACAGAAACAGATAGCAACAATAGGCTCACTCACAGGTTGTTCTCTTGATTTGGTCCAAGTAGTTTTAAGTTTTTCAGGAAATGAGTGGATCACTCAATGACTGCAGCTACACACTGATGGCAGGTTCTTGCCTGCAAGCCTGCTTCCCCACACCTGATGCTTGTGCCCTGTTCAGTTTAGTTCTTCCTTCTTGAGATGGTCAAATGCTGTTCGTGATGATGTTGTCACAGTCAGTGACACAGTCAGTCAGTAGCTGTATGGAAAGACCAAGCTTCAGGACATTTTCAATCTGATTAGCTAAAACATCATTAGCATGGGCCGTCCTGGCAGATTCATGACCCGAGGGCCACCTGCCTGACAAATTTCAGTTCTCTGCCACAAGGAGCAATTATAGGAAGAAATCCACAACATTTTTTTCTGTTGTTTTTGTTTGCTTCTGTCTTTCTTTGTTTCTTTATTTTTGACAAATATCTGTTGGAAACAGCTAAAGTGATTAAACAAGATATCTGCCCCAAACTCAACCAAACCAAATCATCAAACACAACTAGCAGACAATGAGCACTTGACAGGACTAAGCTTGAAGCTTCTGAGCTGGAACTGATAAAGGGCTGGCAGAGATGTAAGAAACAGAAAATAGGACCTTATAAAGAGAAGTTGGGCAACCTTCAAAAAAGTGGTGCTACCAGTCCTGTCAATGAATATTTAGATATGGCCCTTGCAGATTGCAGGTTTTTGATGCAATGCTCACTGGTGAGTCACTTGGAAGATCACTAATTGAAGGATAGAAACTGGCCTGCTGTGGCCTGCAGCCATTATGAGCTGTGCATTTTTTAAGAGGTGTTTGTTGCAATACCCTCTATTTTCTGCAAATGGGGTGTGGCTCTCCCATTCCTGGTAAAGTGACTGGTGCAGCTTTTGGTTGGGAAAATATGGGTACTGTTGCATGACTAGCTGGACTTCCCTAGGAGGGAAGTCAACTTCTTCCTCTCCAGTACAGCATCTGGGGTGTGACAATTCCCAAAAACACAATGGAACCACACAGAAATCTGGCAGCTTTATCCAGTTTGTAGTTATATGGATCTGCCTCATAAAAACATCTGAATCACACCTTTCTCACTACCTATCTACCTGCATAAACACAACCCCATCCTGTTCTCAGGATCTGAGCCTTATATTCTCAGACTATGGCTCCATTTCCTTTTTTCATCAGAGGTCTTGTGACTCTCACTCCTTACGTAATTATTTGGGCTTTAGTGAAAACAGCTGTGTTTCAGCCTGCAATTAAAAATGACAATGTTAAATACAGGCACACAAAGTTTATTTGGCTCTGATGCATTAGAGAACTCATTCTTCATGCAGGATGGGAGGGACACCACACTGAGCCTCACAGATGACAGAGTGCAGATAAACAGCCATCCTGCAGTTGGTTCCATGGTGGATAAGAAAACCCCTACAGCTCCTTGACTTCTTTTCACACTTCCACCACTCTGCTTTGCCAGACCACTCACTTTGCCGGTTGAAGATTGCCCAGTCAACTCTACTGGAAGCCTGGAATCATGGAGAAGGTGACAGACTGCAGCACTGTGCTGCAAGTATGGGAAGCATGGAATTAGTTTTGTGGAGGTTGCAAGGAAGGAGCAGTCTGGTGAGTATTCACAGACACTGCATCCAGTCTGGGAGGAAGAAGCCAAAATGTACTTTCCATGTTTATGGGAACATGGAGTTTGCTGTGCAAAGCCAAGCTGATTAAGTCTGGTATCCTACTTCAGACAACAATGAACACTGGCTGCCAGAGGAGATGCAAGAAATGCTGTAGTAAAACAAAGATTTTTCCATGCAGCATGGACATTTCTTGTCATTCTACAATATCTAGGTCACTAGTTAATCATGTCAACAACTAGTCACCAGCATGAGTTGGGAAGGGTGAAGGCTTTACGCTGAGCTGTTCTAGTCAATGCCATACATGATTCCTCTCACTTAGCTGAAACAATAATGAACAAAGAATGATACCCTCCTCATCCTGTTCCTTCTGAAATATGTGATGAACCCTGTATTACTAGCAAAGGTGTAGGTTCAAACCTGTCATTATCTCACAGAGAGCACAGTAAATATCGTGACTAAGCATTGACAGTGTGTCAATAATGATCATCTAAGTCTCATTGGCATGCTTGATGTGAACTGAATCAGGTTGTCAGCTGCCTTCTTCAATGAGAGTGCAGCAACTACTCTGAATAACCATCTTCCATCGCTGCATACTACAGGTAAAAAATGCAGATGAACAATATTTTACACACACAGATATTAACTGATTATATTACCAAGAAATGCAATAATGTGTAGTTTGTTTTGCACTTTTAGGAATTTGAATGAAGAGATCTCATTACCCAGAACCAGCATGCATCTAGCTTGGTGAATACAATAAAAAAATGCATTCTTCAAATCACTAATCCAGAAGTGTTGTAATCTTCTCTGCAGTGTTGCTCTTGCCTCGCTGCTGGGGCTCTTCTCCATTCTCTGCAGCACAGTCCTTCATATCTTCTCAGGGGCTCCTCTTGGGCTCTCAACCCACCCCTATTTATCTCAGTTACCTTCACGAGCTACAGCTGCTGCCCAACTAAGGACCCTGCAGCTGCAGCTCGTTTGGAGCAACTTGGACCCACACAGGTCTTACAATACAACATATATTCAGGCCCCCACACAGAAGCACTTCAGAAAGAGAGAATGTTCAGCAGCACAAGAAAGATGTCTTATTCCTAGAAATCTCCACACTCAACTGCTGTCCTGTATCTTTCAGTGATTCGGTAGCATGGCAGTTATAACTGAGCACACACATATCTCTGCTAGTAAACAGGAAGAAGCTGTGCAGCAGCACCAAGATGGCTTTGGGCTCTGTGAGTACCAAGGTGGGTGGTCACACCTGATCAGGGCTGTGAGGTTGCTGTGAGATTTGGGTAAGGTGGTCAGGGCTACAGAGGGAAAATCTGAATTACCTGTAACTGTGTTGTGATAGGAAAGGAGAATGCACAAGGAGGATGGTAAGCTGGGGGGGCACCTAACAAGGCAAAAAGGAGAGAAAACAAAGCTTTATTTCTATTTCTTTAACTAGTAATTTGCTTACTTTCTCCTTTAGATTGAGTAAGAGAAAGCACTGATTGCAGCAGTGAAACAGTGTGTTTACACTATGGTTAGTGTACTATTGCAGACATTGTGTGAAGTGCTTGGAGAGAGGATGGACTATCAACAGGTAGCCAGAAGCCTGGGGGGAGTCTCTTAAGATTTGTGTGCTCCCATGTTCATCTCCTCAAATCCAACCCAGTTGGCTTTGGGGAAAAAAACCCCACCAATCTGTGACTATGGTTTTTTTTTGAAAAAAAAAATTAGTTAAATCAGGACAAAAATATAAGACCATGTAGTTCTTGAAGATAGGAATTACTGATAGGATGTTGCTAGGGCATCTGTAAAAAATTTTAAGAAATGGATGTAAAATTTTTATCACAAGTCTGTGTTTAGGAACCATTGGAACTGCTTGTATTTTCAAACGTGTGTAATCATGGACAACTTCAGCTGCTCTCTTGCTCTCTTCTTCATGCTTTTATTTTGTGAATGGAACATAGCTCAGTTGTTCAGGGTTTGTGCAAGTTTTTCTACTTCCCTGAATTGATATAGTCATAGACTATCCTGAATGGGAAAGGGACCCACAAGGACCATCAAATGGAATATCCTGATTAGGGAGGGTCCTACAAGGATCACTGAAATCTAATTCCTGGCCCTGCCCAGGATCACCCCAAAATCACACCATGTGCCTGAGTGTTGTCAAAATGCTTCCTGAACTCTGTCATACCTGGTGCAGTGATCAGTTCCAGTGCCCAGCCACCCTCTGGGTGAAGAACCTTTCCCTGATAAGCAACCTAAACCTCCCCTGACTCAACTTCCACAGGCCATTCCCTCTGGTCCTCTCACTGGTCACCACAGAGAAGAATGTCCATAAGAGACCATAAGATGAATCAGCTACTTTTCCTGTCCTTTATTTGAAGTTCTTTAAAATTATCAAATCTCTGCATATGCACAAGCTATCAAAATGTAAATAAATGAAAATGAACATTTTCTGTTAAGTGCCTTTCCACTCCCACCTCCTGGCTGGAGCTTCCTTCCTATCAGTCAGATGCCTACACCAGTCAGTGTGTGGACACATACTTCCTGCCTCCTAATGGCTCCTTGGGGAGAGAAAAATCTGTCCAAATAGTCCTAAACAGAGATTATGTCTTCACTGATTAAACTTCTTGAGGTAGTGATGTGTCCAACTGGGCTTATGACTGCAAATGATTAGTTTGCAGTCATAAAGGCTTCACCTGCCAAATTTGGTTAGTTTTGCCAGCTGAAATGTTTGTTGATGACTTGAACATGTGAATAGATCTTGTTGATGAGCTATCTTCTCAAACATCTCAGTTATGCTTGTGTTATTGCCAACTTCTGTTGAGAGGCTTTTGGAGGCAGGAGAGGACATCAAATGCAGAAGAGCATCTCTATTACTTAGGTAATTTTCTTTTTCCCAGCATATGGATCTAAAATGGCCCTGCTGCCTTGTTGCTGTTGCTTGATTGCATGGATCAGAATTTAGTTAGCATTCATTTTCTGGCCCTAAATATTTGAAGTCTAGAGCTATTCCAGAGAATAATTCTATTTCATAACAGCCTGGCTGTCATGAATATGTCTTGATCATCCTTATTTCAGCCAGAGTCTGAGCTTTCTGTCCATGTCTGAGCTATTCTTGGTAGTAAATGGTTTCTGGCAATCGGTGCATGGAGATTTTTGAAATAAGATCATTTGTAGCAGAGAAGCATTAGGAAAGTTTTGAGCCCATCAAGGACCTGATAGCAAGATATTATTGTCCTGATTCTTCCAATTTGTAATGTGGGGAGATCCAGCTGTTTGACAACCCCAAGTCACAGTGAAGCCTTGGGTGACATAACTGATTTCCCAGTGTGCTCATGGTGATCAGTGCTCTGGATCAGACAGCCCAGGATGTGGCATTTCTCCCTGACAGCCGAGGATGTGGCATTTCTCCCTGTCTGTGCATTGTAGGGGTGTGGGCTTCAGGGAGCTCCTTCCTTACTGCTGGAAGAATCAACTTTATGTTCCCTAAGTTCAAAAGAGTAACTTGGCCTCTAGACAGATGTTCTGATATGTGGGGGATGTCTGGGTGTATGTGGTATGACAGCTGAGCAGAGGCTGTCACTTATGGGCCTGTGTTTGGAGAAGACTCGTAGGAGTGCTACCAACAAGCAGCTTTTGGGGCCAGCCATGTCTGTGTGCTGCTCTTGGATGTTGCATCCACTCTCCCTCTTGAGCAACTGAGTGAGTGCCCAGAAAGTCAGATGGATGCTGTGCCCCACACATCAGTTCCTAAACATTGCCCTGTCTAATCCACAGCTGCTGTGGACTTTCAGCATAATGCCGCTTTGTCTGAAGAAGCAACAGCATCTAAAGAAGCAATAGATTTTGAGACAACTGGAGCAATCATTCTTTGATCCCTGGCAAAGCCCAGGGGCTTGATTATTATCCAGTGGAAGGAGCTGAGATAAATGAGTTTTCAGGAGTAGGCAACTCAAAAGAGGTCAGGCTGGAGGAGGATTAGAGTGAAGGGTGAGAGGGTGTGCCCAGCTCCCAGGATAATGAGGTCAGTCATGAGCAAGCCACAGGGTCCTCTCAGAGCCCAGTGCTTTACCGGGCTCACGGGCATTTCCAGAAGCAGGCAGGAATGCTTCTTTCCATAGACCTCTGTCACCTTCTTGGAAGCTGATCAAACACATTTTAATAAAAAACACCATTTGACTCCTGATGTTTTTATACTGATTAAGAACATTAACTTGGCTGACTGAACAAGGGAACTCATTGTAGCTCATTCACTTTATGTCGGAAAAGCTTTGATCGGACTGAGTGGGAGTTTAAGGTACTCTATAAAATGAATTTTGGTGATAAGCTTTTAAACTGAATTTGAACCTTGCACAGGCTCCAGAGACAAGGAATAAACAGCTCCATTTATATTCTCTAAAGATACACACCAAGATGTCCCTTTAACCTTTAGTTATATTGCTTCGGGGTCAAACTGTTTCTTAAACTGTTTGAAATTATTTGTCCAGATTAGCTGTCCATCCTGAAGATGGAGAGCTTTCAGGGTGATTCCCAAGAGCCCTGAAGCCAACTATAATGAATGAGTTTGGTGCTTTACTTAAAGAAAAAAAAAAGCTGAATGAGTTATGGAGCTGCTAAATAGCCCCAGTTCATTCACACAGAGTTGAGGATGATGTGCTTATCTTAACATAGTATTGGTAGAATAGCTTATTTCAAGGGCATTCCTGTCTGACATCTTCCCTCCCTCATTACTTATCAGCCTCTCTAGTTATATATGGAGGTTTAAGAGACACTGGTATCTGACAGAAACCCTGGGGAGCACGTAGGATTCATCTCCCATTTCTGCTGAAACTGGTGACCAAACTTACAGTAGATCAGCTGGAAGAAAGCTCAGATGGGCATCCTGTGAAATCCTCTGGTCTAATATATCTGGAGAGGCTGTAAATGCACAGAGGACAGTCAGAGGAGTCTGCTAACTGATCAAGTAATTATTACCACCAGTGGTGCATTCAG